GGGGCCCCCGGGAGGCTCAGCCTGCTAAAGCGTCTGGCTTGGGTCATGATCCCAGGGTCCTGGGATCCAGCCCCTCCTAGGGCTCCCTGCTCAGCGGGGAGTCCGCTTCTCCCTCAAGTCTACCCCCTACTCATTCTCTCTCTTATTGTCTCAAATAATTAAATAAAACCTTAAAAAAAAAAAAAAACTTAGGGGAAAGTTATTCAACATTTCACCCCGAAGTATGATGGTAACCGTAGGTTTGTCCTACGTGCTCTTTATCAGTTTATGTTCCTTTCTGTTCCTAGTTTGTTGAAAGCTCTGTAATCAATGAAGGTTGGATTTTGTAAAATTCCTTTTCTGCATCTGTTGAGATAATCATATCATTTTTCTTTTTTAGTCTCGTTAATATGCTGAATTACATTGCTTAATTTTTAAATTGTAAACCCCTTTCATTTCTAAGATAAACCCCATTTAGTCATGATAAATTTTCGGATTTATTTTACCAAAATTGTGTTGAGAATTTTTGCATCAGTGCTCATAAAATTATTTTCCTGGCTTCCTTTTTTTCTGGTTTTCTGCCAGGACATTGCTTGACTCACAAAATGTGTTCAGAAATATGCCTTTATATTCAATTATCTGGTGCTGTTTATGTAAAATTGATATAATTTCTTTCTCAAATGTCAGGCAGAACCCACAAGTGAAGCCATCTAGGTCTAAAATTTTTTGATAGAATATATTTAAGTTCACATTCAATTCGTTTAATGACCATAGAGATATTCTCTTTTTGAATGAGCTTTGGTAGCTCATTTCTTGTCTTCAAGAAATGTATCCATTTCATCTATGTTGTCAAATGTATTTTCATTAAGTTGTTTATAACATTTTCTTTCTTTTTTTACAGATTTTATTTATTTATTTGACAGAGACATAGCAAGAGGGCACACAAACAGGGACAGTGAGAGAGGGAGAATCAGGCTTCCTGCTGAGCAGGGAGCCCGATGCGGGGTCCTGAGCCGAAGGCAGACACTTAATGACGGAGCCACCCAGGCACCCCTGTTTATAACATTTTCTTATTAGTCTTTTACTCTCTGTAGAAGTTTCAGAGATGGCCCCTTTCTCATTCCTTATTTTGGGGAATATATTCTTCATTGTCTCCATTGAGGCAGAATATACAGCTCATTATAGATTTTTTAAAAGACTGACCATGTTATTGTCTTATTAAAGAATTTTTTCTTTGACACAAGGCTGCCCTTCAGCCCAGCATAAGGAGAATCTCTAGCAGCTTCTTCATTCCTATTTACCCACATGGGTTCTATATTGGTTAACTCGAATTCTATAATGAAGGGATACAGATAAACTGATAGCAAATATGTGCAAACACCTAAAGCCAGGGTCTATGGTTCAGGTTCACCAAGGATTACCCTTTTCTCTCCCCATACATACAGGTTCCAGTCCAGTAATAGGTGAAAGACCAGATGTTAGGTGTCATCTAAAATGGATAGCTACACTCATTTCAGGCATCTTTCTCTCAACCTGGAAAATAATGATTTTAGCGATATCTAGACTATTTTTAGAATGGAAAGTCATTATTTTATATCATGCTTTCCAATAATCTAACCCAATAAACAGAGAAGAGGTCCTGAAGATTTGCTATAGGTTGCCTTAGATTCTAGGTACTATTAAATTCTGCTTCAATGGTAGTTTTCATAAGGGAAGAGGCACATTCCACAGAGGAAGCCTAAGAAAATGCTTCCACATTTAGGTCAGGGTTATTTGACTGAGCTTAAGTGTCTACATTGTGCATCAGCCTGTCCAAAAAAGTAAGACTCACGGAGCCTTTAATGTTTCCAAAAATAGTTTCAGAACTGACAGACTGATTTATCTGCATCTCAATATTATTGGATCCAACACTTCCCAGTAATTCACTGCTCTTCTTTCTAACCCTTCAGTTTTACAAACAACTTTGTGTATACTATTTAAGAACATATATGTCCCCCACAACTTTCTCTCATCTCCCATATGCAAATGTCTTGGATACATGCTTTAATACTTTCAAATCTTTGAGTTCTCTTCCCTGGGAATAAAGCCTAATAGGGGTCCTTTACAAAACAATAAATTCTTCCATATCTTTAACAAAAAAGAAGAGAGAATATAAGATGAGAATTCTAGGAAAGTATATTGTTAGGTGTTTACAGCCAAATAAACCTTCAAATTTTATCTACTACATATTCAAATTATATCTATGTATATAATTCAAATTATATACATTGATATATACTTTAAATAATGTCTATGTATAGCCAATAAAGCTTTAAGTATTGTATTACTCTATTATGATCAAGATGATGTGGTATTGAAGTTATTATAACTATTGTGTTGTGCAGCTTTGAAAGAGGAAAAGGCAGTTGTTGCTAAAGAGCTTTGTTAAATCAATATGTGATTCATTAAGTGAAAATTCCAAACCCTTATGCTAATTTCCCTTTGAATGAATATTTCCAGTGGCAAAACTTGCATATCAATAGCTAAGAAATTCATTGTATATTGAACTGTTCACCATGAAGTCAAAATGAAGTCATCACAGTTATTCATCAAATGAATTTATAACTCTGAAAATAAAAATTTTAAAGTTACCATTGAAAACAAAATTACAGTCAGTCATGGCTAAACGAAAAATATGAGCCAAGAAATTTAAGTATTTTCTTGTTCTTTGATGTATTTGTTTTAATGGAAAATTTCCCTTATGATGACAGCTTTTAACATTTAATTTATATTTATTCACATCAATCTGAGCCCTAGGTAAAAAGAAATCACCATGTACTCTATACATTGCCTGTATCTTATAAACAAATTTAAGCCAAGGTTTTAGATTAAGAATCGAAGTATGTATTCATTTAGCACCAATCCAGTGGTTCTAACTGCAGTTGTAATAATCATTGAATCACATTTCCCACAATGTTGGAGCAAACTTCCAGTATGGAACTCAGAAGTGAAGAAAATTATTCATTTCTCTTAATCAGTGAGAACATGTGGCTTGCTATCACTGCATTGGCCTTGCACAGCCATAATGCATCAAGTTGTATATACTGAGTCAAAAATCAAGTTGAACTCCAAAGAGACCTAGTCACAATGAGACTTCCTAATTTAAAAAATTTGGCCTCTCACTTAGACAACTGTCATAGCCTCCAAATTCTGCCCTCTGCTTTCTCATATACTTTCTTCAGTGGATCATGCACAAAGCAGACAGTTTTTCCTGAATAAATCCTAAATCCTCCATAAATGATGGATGTGATGTTATCCACTTGCTTAAAACTTAATATACTTGGGAAAAGACTGACATTTCTCATCATTACCTGTAAGGCCCTGCATCTTCTGGACCCTGCACAGCACTCTACCCTGATCTCTGGTACAATGCTTGAGACACATGGGCTGCTTTCAGAGTCCATATTATTCCAAGCTCCTCCCAACACAAGAATCTTTGTACAGCATTTTCCTTCTGCCTGGAACTCTCTCCTCCCTGCTCTTTCATCTGTTGATTCCATTAGGGCTCTGAAGTATAACTTCTGAAAGGTCTTTCCTGAACTCTTTCTCCAGAAGTGTTTGGCTTCTGTAACTCTTTAGTCTTTTTTTTAAATTTAATTTTATTATATTATGTTAATCACCATACATTACATCATTTGTTTTTTTAAAATTTTATTGTTATGTTAATCACCATACATTACATCATTAGTTTTTGATGTAGTGTTCCATGATTCATTGTTTGCGTATAACACCCAATGCTCCATTCAATCCGTGCCCTCCTTAAGACCCATCACCAGCCTAACCTATCCCCACGCCCCCCTCCCCTCTAGAACCCTCGGTTTGCTTCTTCTCATTGTAACTCTTTAGTCTAAATCATTGAAATTTCTTCCTTTCTTAATGGCACTTGCTATACCTTTTATTGTTTAATTATTTGGCTGTTTAATTGTATTTTTCTCTTCCCTTCCATACTATAAGCTCTTTAAGGACAGGAGCTGTATCTGTTTGTCTTTAGCCACCCAGCACTCAGCACAATGATGGTACAAAGTAGGTGAACAGTAAATATTTTAGCAAATAAATCATTTATACCAAACATCAGGACAAGTATTTATTTTTAAATATTCCACTTAATGTAAAATTGATATTTTATTGATAGAAAAAAAGTCACTCTGTTTTGCTAATAGCTTTGTTGAATAAGAAAGAAATTTACTCATATCCTCATGGTTTCTTATTCCTCTTGTGACTAATAGCATTCATTAGCAAGTTGGCCTTTAAGAATCATGAGTACATTTCAAGTTTATATAAGAACCAAATTTATGTCATTAATATAATTCCTCCCAATAGCCCCATGGTAAGAAACTGTAGAAAGTCACTGTGGAGGGATAGACAAATTTGTGCAAAGCCAAGGGATCGCCTAAGAGTAAAGGAATAGACATCCTTCCTCTTTTTAATGTTATTAGGCAGGATGAAAAAGTTTATTCCAACTGAGAGATATTGGGACTCCATAATGGAAATGAACATGAGGAAACAGGAAGTCTGGGCAGGTAATCTGGTTTAGTACCAGGGCCAAAGGGAAATTAGAAAGGGGTGGCTCTGGTACAACATGTGGCTGCTCTGGAACACGTCACTGAGACAATCACCCTGGCATAGAGGAAACACTTTAGCAATATGGTAATTCATGGAAGTGTAAAGTAAACAGCCACCATCTGTTTGGAGAAGACTGTCTGGTAGTAATCCAGGAGGTCCAAGATTCTGTTTTATTGAAAGGCCACTGAGGCCTGTAAGAAAATCAGCACAGTAGTGGGTAAGGCTCTTCTGAATTGTGGAGCACTAGTTTTCCACAGGAATCATAACAAGAGCACACAAGGCTGCCCTTCAGCCCAGCATAAGGAGAATCTCTAGGGTTGATTCTAGCGGATTACTCAGTGCAGACCAACCGAGCCCAGGAGTTCTAGGAAGTTTGGAGATAGATCTCCAGGTGGATGGTCCACATATATTTTTTTTTTTTATATATGGAACACTTCACGAATTCGTGTGTCCTCCTTGTGTAGGGGCCATGATAATCTTCTCTGTATCATTCCAATTTTAGTATATGTGCTGCCCAAGCGAACACTGGTCCATATAATTTGAATGTGAATGAACAACATGGACTTAATTGACTATCTCTAGCCGACATTGTCAGTGCTCCATCTACTTCCCATAGATCCTTACTGTCATTTACGAGCACAGAAGCTCTAGTTCCAACTGCCTGTCTTTGTGTCCTCTTGACTGAGGACTGACCACCAGAGCCTGTTCTGCTCGAGTGCTTAATGCATCAGAAGTGTTGGGGAATAGAAGAACTCCCTGGAAAATAGCTCAACCAATGGGAATTGGTAGAGAATTACCCCAATTCCTGCATTTTCAAAAGGAACAACTGAGGAATGTATTCTATATGAATGCTCAGAATTCCCAAGTGGGAATAAATTACAGTGGCTCTGAGCTTGATAACATAACCCTCTCTTGACTTCCTTCCTTTCTCTGCCTGTATTGTTTCCTAAGGCTTGTATAACAAAACAAAACAAAACAAAAAACCCAAACAACAACAACAACAACAACAAAAACAACAAAGTGACTTAAAACAACAGAAATTTATTTTCTTATAGTTTTGGAGGCTAGAAAACCAAAACAAATGCCTAAGGAGGATCATGCTTTCTCTGAAGGCTGTAAGGAAGAATTTTTCTTTGCTTCTTTCTCATTCTTGGTGGTTGCCAAAAATCCCTGGTGTTCCTTTTTCTTACAGTTCTATCACTTGAATCTTTGCTTCCATCATCACCTAACCTTCTTCCTTGTCTCCTCTCTGTGTCTCTGTATCCACATCACCCTTTCCTTTCCCTTACAAGACACGTTATTGTATTTGGGGTCTGCCGTAACCTAGCATTACCTCATTTAATTACATATGCAAAGCCCCATTTCCAAAGGTCATATTTCAGGTGGACACGAACTTTGGAAGAACACTGGTCAACAGGTAAACTTTCTCATTTGTTTTTCCCACAAACAGTGTTTCTTAAGATCACCTCTCAAGGAAACAACTTGCCCTTAAATCTTTGTTTCAAGGATAACTTTTGGGGGAGCTCTCACACCTTGCCTAACAACCATGCAAAGGTCTCACAGGAAGTAGATGTCTGTCAAGATAATACCTTCCTTCCCTTTATCTCATTGCTTCTAGAGTAATACATTTGACCAAGTCTTGCTATGGATTCTACTTGCTACAGTTTCTACTGTAAGAGGTAAAAGATTATTCATCAAAAGAGTAGGAGAACCCAGCTATTAGAAACCAACCAGAACCCAGAGATCATGATCGGGATGATGCTAGATCAATGAAGGCCGAACATAAGGCTAAATAAAGTCAAGTTTACTAATAATTGGGCTCCTATGATTTCATAATTGACAGATATATCTGTCAAGGATACCTGGAGCTAGCCTTAATATGTTGATGGGATGAGTTCTTTAAGAATAAAAAAAAAAAAAAACAAATCTAGGTAATTAGTGGTAATGAGGTAGAACTGCCTTGTGGTCAAAAGGCTGAGAGCATAGCAAACTAGAGTAAATCGATTATATAAAATTAGAGAACCCAGCAGCTGCCTCTGATCTCCAAGGATTATCTCTAAGGATAATCATGTCCCTAAAGCAATAAGGAGGCACCAGTATTGTTGGGAAGCCAGTGGTGGCTATTCTTTGCACGCTAGGGATTAATGGTAGGAAGGCTGCTATTCAACTGGATAACATGTGAAGGACAGAATTCCAAAAGAACAAAGGTCAAGTTTTAGCACTTAAACATCAGAGACAAGGAACCATAATTGTGGTAATGGTAGAAAGTCTGAAATGACATTTGTGACTTCCAGGAATCTGTGGATGACTACCAGACTATGGTGTTCTTAAGGTAAAGGTCCAAGAGCAGCCAGTGATTTCTTAACTTTTGTAATGAAAAAAATTTATTTATAAATTTATAGAGGGTGCCTGGCTGGCTCAGGCAGAAGAGCATGTGACTCTTGATCTTGGGGGGTTTTGAGTTCGAGCCCTATGTGGGGTGTAGAAATTACTTAAATAAATAAAACAACAGAAAAAAAAAAAGAGTAGGGGACCAGAAGGTTGACGGCAACTGTTATAATGCAATTTATAATCCTGAATCTAATTTCCAAACCTGCAACATTCCTCAAACAGAAGCTCCGTTGACTGAAGGGGAGGCCAAGGCTCTTTGAGAAATAAGTATTTAATGCTACAACATGTATACATACTAGTGAGTATTTCTATACATCTCAAAGAGACCTATGGTCATTCACCAGAGTAACTGTATAGTGAAGAAAGAGGAAATACTCGAATATTTCAAGGATTGTTGAATATACTTTCAGTTGTCATTGATACTATGGACCCTTAGTTGGAGTGGGAATTTCAAATTCTAGATGTTAAGTGAAGTACTGCTCTAAATCCATCTCACGGTGTAGAAAGTGGGTCTTAATATCATATCCTATATCATCAGGAAAAGAGCTACCCTGATGGAATATTGGAGTGTACTCTTAAAGACATAGCTAATGCCCTGAATATGACATCCTTATAGTCGCAGTAGTATTCTTCAAGATGAAAAATATACAAGGGTCCAATAGCCAGGAAATGCTGATTTATCCTATTAGGTGGAATATATGGGTTTGAGATCTAAGGATTGGAAGTAGAAGGAACATTTTACCATCATTATCAGTGAGTCACATGTGGAATTTCTGCTTCCTTCTTCCCATAAACACAGATTCTGCTTGACTAAATGCCCTAGTCCCTAAAGGCACTTTTCTCCCAGGGGACACAGTAAGCTAAAACTGTGGCTACTGCCCAATCACTTTGAAATCCTTATCCCAGAAGACCAAATGGCAAAAGTCACTACACCAGCAGGAGGAACTGATCATTCTACTATATAAAAAAGAGAAAACAATGTCTGAAACTCATGGGATTGGTGTTTCCATGACTAGTGACAAAAGTAAATGAGCATTTATACCAGTTATGGTCTGACATGGAAAGGGTCATTTGGGGGCTCAAATCCTACCATGCAAGTAACCGAGAACAACAAAACTGCTGGTTGTGGATGCAGATAAGGGGAAATCTAGGAATGGCATGAAAGATATTGCTGCCATTGGACCAATGAAGCAGTAGATGTTAGGGGTATCTCAGTAACACTCTTATTATTTTGTTTTGTTTTGTTTCAAGAAAGTAGACCTGCCAAAATTTTGAAGAATTGTGAAAGGACAGAGTAAAATTGACTTAGCATACAAGCAGTACATTTCTCATTTTTTATTTGTGCATTTTCTAAGATATGAAATTATGGTCTTACAATATTGTAAATAGGATGTGAGGAGGAAAAACTCACTATAATTTTGCCATTATTTACTAGAGTTTGGCAGCATATGTAGATATAGAAATTTGTGCCCACATCTTTGAATATTTCTGAAAGCAGAAGGCTTACTAGAGAAGTTTGCAAACACACAATGAATAAGGACTCGTAGAATGGTGTTTCCAGGAAAAGAAGAATGAGAAAAATGCTCACCCAAATTCCCACAGCTTTTGGAGTCTTCAGAAAAAAAAAAAAAGAAGTTTTCTAAGAATATAAGTGGAAAAGGAGGTTTCTTTCCATTGATCCCTATCTCTTCAGAATACCATTTCAGAGATAAAATACAAAACAAGACCTCTATCTGGGTTGTTCTCCCACTGATATGTGCTTAGTTTTTAAGAAGATTCTTGTCATGGCTTTTTTTTTTTTCCTTCCTACCCCACAACATCAGAGGAGGCAGACCCAGAAGGGAAGAGAACAGAATATCAGAAAACACATAGCTCCAACGTACTCATCTCCATTGTAGAGAAAAGAAAAGAATGAAAGAATAAATCCTGCCTCCGATCCACTCCAAATTCTTGGAACTGAAACAACCATTTAGGAAAGATATAAGACTTGAATTGAATTTTAATTGGAAGTCTAAATACAAGACTATAAGGAAATCGATAACAGAAAGTGTACAGAAGGAGTCATATAATCTTAACACTAAGGACTTCACTAATCATTAGAGACTAGAGATTCTATATTATTCATTTGGGAATATATATTTTTTAAAGGAAGAAATAAAAAAGGAAACAAGTCCAAACTTACTCATCCAGTGAATTTGCATTGTTTAATAAACTAGTTACATATGATGACACCAAAGAGTGGGACATCAGATCACAGAAGACACTACATCCATTATTTTACAAGCAAAAGACTGATAACTAAGACATATCTATGCAACCAGTGTGACCTGCATCACTAGCTGAGGCTGCCTTTGTTAGGGTTCTCTCACGACAATTAATTTACATGCAAGTAATATATTTAAGAACTAATCCCAGTAAATACCTGGAGAGGAGTTAAGAAGTAAAACAGAAAAGGGAAGGAAGTCTATTCTCCTACCTTTTCCCCCACCTTTACCTGACATCCAGAGAATTAGGGTCAGTTATTTACAACTCTGAGAGTTGTATATAAATAAACTCTATTTTACATTTTCCCTAGTCTTTTTTTTTTTTTAATACAGGTAAGAGAGGTGCTGTAACGAAGTAGTAGAGCCAGTTAGCCTACCTCCTAACAAGCTGGCTTTTTTTTTTTTTATTGTTGTGTAACAACCTACCCCCCAAATTATTGGTTTGTCATGAGAAGAACCATTCCTTTTGCTCACATATCTGCAATTTGATCAGAGATTTATGGGGAATTTTGTCTCTGTTCTATATGGCATCAGCTAGAATGTCTGGACTGGGGCTGGAAGACCCACTTCCAAAGATGGCTCAGTAAATATGGTTAAAAGGTTGGTGCTGGTGACTAGCTGGACACTCATCTAGAGCCCTGATAACAGTTTTGTGGCACAAGAGCCTTTCCGTGGAGCTGCTTGGGCTCCTCACAGCATGACTCATATTGTTGGTCAAAATAGTGACACAGCTCTGGGATATTCAGGAAGAAGGGGCATTGAATCACCTTTTTACGGAAGGAGTGAGAGAGACCCTTGGTACTGAAACAAGCCTTGAGGTAAATGACCAGTTATGCATGCTCTCTTTAAAATGGAGGGTGGGACCCTAACT